AAAAAGCAATGGAGGATTTATGATGAGATAGAGAATGCACTGTTACCCACATGAGATGACGATTCTACTCTACTCGATTGTCCTTTATTATGACTGCAGATGAGGAATAAACCTGCTGTTACCACAAGCCTGACTAGCTCCTGAAGAGTCATTTTAGACCAAAGACATCTCACAAGGTTTACACATGTCTGTATTGTAAGAATATATTGTAGTGGACACATGTGATAGATAGAATTCTCCAGACTGCTGATGTGGTTTGCACTATTTCTCACTCCTGTAGGGTTATCATGTGGGGTTATCATGGTAACAAGGGCAACAAGCCTTAAAAAATATGTAAATAGAGAGGTGCAGTCATGCAGGTGTGTACTGCTGTTACCAATTTAGGAATATGTTCTAGACATACAAACTTAAGTATTTACTTAAGCTTTTAATATTTAAATTTTGTAGCCACAGTTTATGTGATTGAACAGTGTGTTTAACACATGTATCTAACATAATTAGACTGTACCAATTACATTTTTCATTGAGGGCAGAAGACCGGCCTGGTTTTGCACATTTACCCTTCCCCTAAAAATAAATCAGGACACTTATAATGTTATGTCATTACATTTGATATGTCATAAGTCATCAGGAAAGCTTTAACTACACTCTGATACTCTTCACCTTATATATGCTACCCCCAGGCAACATCATTAGAAAGCACCACATACACTACCATTGTTAAGCAGACAACACCCAGTTGTACATATCTATGAAGCATGATGAATATAATCACTTAGTTCAACTCCAGGAATGTCTCAAGAACATCAAGGCGTGGATGACCCAAAACTTCTTATTTCTAAATTCAGACAAAACTGAGGTTGTTGTAATTGGCCCTGAACATCTCAAAGAATCACTGTCTGAACAGATAGTCACCTTGGATGGTGTTAGTTTGGCCCCAGCTCCACTGTGAGGAACCTTGGAGTTATGTTCGACCAGGACATGTCATTTGACCAACATATAAAACAAGTCTCTAGGACAGCTTTCTTCCACCTGTGCAATATTAAGAAAATTAGAAACAGCCTGTCTCAGAAGGATGCTGAGAAACTAGTCCACGCATTTGTTACCTCTAGACTAGATTACTGTAATTCTTTATTATCAGGATGCCCCAGGAAGACTGTAAAAAGCCTCAATTTGGTCCAAAATGCTGCAGCATGAGTACTGACAGGAACTAGAAGGAGAGATCATATTTCTCCTGTCTTAGCTTCTCTACATTAGCTCCCTGTAAAATTCAGAATAGAATTCAAGATGCTGCTCCTCACATTTAAAGCCCTTAACATACTAACTGACTAAATTTAAGTCAAGATGGCGTGTTGTATGTGGCCTGCCGTCCTCGTCCTCGTCTGTGCAATTTGCTAGTGACTGCTGTGTTCTTCCTACTTGTCATTCATGATGTGACGGTTGTCGCTGGCGCCGAGTCGCCTCTTCCGTGTCGCCGGCCGGTGAGGATCCGGAGTCAGGGCTGTGTGCCGGGAAATCTCTGCCCGCTTGGTCATGTTGCAGAGCGGATTGTGAGCTGTGCATCGACCCACGCAGCCCTCCTGAATGTCAGATCGCTAACAAACAAGACCTTTATCTTGAATGATCTGATTTCCACACATGATCTGGATTTCCTTTTGCTTACGGAGACCTGGCAGAAGCCAGGTGAGAACAGCGCTTTCTCTGAGCTCCTCCCACCCAGCTAATCTTTCCACAGTACACCGCGAGAGTCCAGCCGCGGGGGCGGTCTGGCTGCTGTCTTCAAACAGAGTTTTACCTGCCGCCTACTCCCAGCAAAAAGTTACAGCAGCTTTGAGCTACAGTTATTATTGGTGCAGTTTACATGTCCTGTACTGTGTGCTGTAATCTATCGTCCACCTAAGCAGAACAAGGAATTTATAACAGAGTTCTCAGACCTACTTGCTGATCTAATGCCAAAATATGACAGTCTACTGATCTGTGGTGATTTTAACGTTCATATCTGCTGTCCCTCTAACCAACTGGCAACTGAGTTCCAAAGCCTTTTGTCATCTTTCGGCCTGGTACAGTCAGTAAATGTTGCCACACACCAACATGGGCACATATTAGACCTTATTATCTCCCATGGACTCCCATTATCCATCACAGAAATAGGTGGCATTTGTATATCAGATAACCGATATACAAATGCACATTTGAATTTATAGCCCCTTCCACTACAGCTAAATCCCATACTTCAGCCTCATGCCGCTGCATTTTCACCTCCACTACAGCTGAAGAGTTTGCTGCTGCTTTCATGAGCGGTAGTTTTAACACCCATCATGAACTGTTCCTTCCCCTGTGTCCAGAGACATTTATTTCCACCTTTCATTCCGCATGCTTGGAAATCTTGGACACTATTGCTCCATATCGGTCTATCTCTGCTAAACCTAAGCCTGACCCATGGCTATGGCCTGACCCATGGCTAGTATCTCTATCCCATCTGTCTGAAGTGGTCCAGGGAATAAGATCCACCACCTGCCCATTGGACATTATTCCATCCTTTATGCTTAAACAGGTTTTTAGCACAGTGGGTCCTGGTCTCCTCACATTTATCAATAGTTGCCTCAGCTCAGGGTCTGTTCCGAAAGTGTTCAATCATGCTGTGGTCAGACCTCGCCTTAAAAAACCCAACCTCGATCCTGCAGTTCTATCAAACTTCAGACCTGTGTCAAATCTATCATTTCTGTCGAAAGTTTTAGAAAAAGTTGTTTTCCTCCAGCTCCAATCGTTTGTGGAAGATAATAACATTCTTGAAAAGCTCCAATCCGGTTTCTGAGCTTGCCACAGTACTGAATCAGCACAACTTAAAGTGCATAATGATATTCTCATCTCCCTCGATGCCAAGAAACCCGCGCAGCGTTTGATACCGTGGACCACTCCATCCTCCTGGCACGCCTGGCCCAACATGTATGACTGCAAGGTTCGGTGCTGCAGTGGTTTAGATCTTACCTCACGGCAAGAACTTTCTCTGTGATGATTGGCGACCTCTCCTCCTCATCAGCTCTTCTGTCTTCTGGCGTTCCACAGGGGTCCATTTTGGGGCCTGTTCTGTTCTTTCTATATCTGCTGCCACCAGGCTCAATAATACTGAAGCACAACGTCTCCTTTCATTTGTATGCAGATGATCTACAACTCTATCTGCCCATCATGTCAAACTGTCCAGATGCCTTGGAGTCAATCCACAAATGTCTGAGTGACATTAAACTCTGGGTATCACAAAATTTCCTCTGTCTAAATGAGAGCAAGACAGAATGTATTTTGTTTGGCTCATCAAACACGCCTAGTACAACACCTGGTCTTGGTCCACTGGTATCCTTCTGTAACAATGTTGTTAAAAATCTGGGAGTGAAATTTGATTCCGGTCTTAAATTTGACTTACAAATTAATGCTGTTGTGAAGGCAAGCTTCTTTCAGGTTGCCTACTTGCAAAATTTAAGCCGTTTCTGAGCCGCTGTGACCTGGAAAGAGCCATCCATGCCTTTATTAGCTCAAGGCTGGACTACTGCAATATACTGTACATTGGACTTAGCCAAGCATCTCAAACAACTGGTTCAAAATGCTGCTGCCAGGTTCCTAACTAACACCCGTAAACACGATCACATCACACCCGTAATTTACTCCCTTCACTGGCTACCTGTACAATTTAGGATCCAGTTTAAAACTTTATTATTCGTCTTCAACACAATAAATGGCCTTGCACCCATCGTGATGGTTGATTGTGGATTGTGATGGTTGATTGTGGATCATGATGATGGTTCGAGATCATGGTGGCAGCTGATTAAGTACTATGGCTACAACAAGACTGCTCGATAAACAATATGCCTACATGTTATACCATTACTGGCAAAAACTCCACCATTTCAATTATCATTGCTGCTCCATTTATTTCTATCACACATTTTCTTATCTATAAATACTTTGAAACACACTTTCCATCTTCTTAGAAACTGTTTCTTGTAATCAATGTTGTAAATATTGCAAATTTGGTATATGTTCAGCTACATGTGGCATCTATGGCACTTCTGTCCATCCTAGGAGAGGGATGCCTCACATGTTGCTTACTCAGAGATATTTACATTTTATTTCCTGTTGAAAGGGTTTTTATTGGTAGTTTTTCCTTACTTTTGTTGAGGTTTGTTGTTTCCCTTCTTAAGCCCTATGAGACAAATTGTAATTTGTGAATATGGGCTTTACAAATAAAATTTGATTGATTGACTGGTGGCTGGATGGGTGCTTATCTCCTGGACACTGTTTGAAGTGCACTCCATGGCAGTGCCATAATTCAACAAGTTTATGTTAATTGGGTCCTGTTTGTTACTGTGTGTGAATGTGTATGTGTAAAAATAAAAGTAATTTTCCATCCTATCATATAAAAGAAACATTTTCTTAGTCACTTCTGTCTCTCCACTCAAATAGCTGATTGAGATCTAGTAACTGCAAGGGCCATAGTATCCATCTTTATTTAACCTGATCATTCTAATTACATCAATACCTAACATGAAACCTTTAGCAACCCAGGTCAGAAGCGAGACAGAAAGTAGTATTTTGGTAGAATAATTGTTTAAATTACTTGGAGAAAAAGTAATAATTGGTTGGAATAAACCTTTAAAAGTATAAAAGACAGACAGTAGCATTTAGGCGGAATAAACCTTTAAAACTATATATGAAAACAGAAAGTAGTATTACACCTTTAAAACTAACTGGTGTCGAAGAAATGTAGTCTTGAACCTGATGTTCATCCAATCCACTAGATGGCGCTGTCACAAAAATGTGAGTCCTAGAAATGGGGTCCTAAAACTGCTCTCCTGAAACTGCGGCATATATTTATTGATGGACACGTTTTCATTACATTTCTTTTTTTCACGTTTTGATTGAAAACTAGAAAGTACTAACCTCAAGGCACTGAAGTCATGACAAATAAGACAAAATAACAAGGCCGGCAGGGAGCAGTAATGTGCCCTTCAACCCGGCGTTCGCCTTAGTTCACATGACCCGGAAACCGGAAGCTTAACATGGCCGCTTGATGAGAGACGCCAAATAGTAACAATGCTGTCAATTGGTAATATCAAATAACCCTATTATCTGAAAGTGCTCGACATCTTTCGTCAATCCATACGGTAAATAACGCATTTTACAAACATATGCAAATGGTCTTATTTCAAGTCCTCTTCTCGGCGGATGTTTTGTTAGCGACTTTAGAGCACATATTCTGGAACAATCTATATGCCGAATGTAAGTGTTCATTCAAAAAATCTAGATTTAAAAAAAAAAAGAATTGATGCCACCCTTTGATGTCCTGGATATGAAAGACGTAATGGGGATTACATATCGTTTAGCTGACGCTTTTATCCATAGCGATTTCCAATGAGTGCAGTCAACATGGGGATGATTTGCTCATTGTGACATTCTTGTTTATTTTGTAGATAATGAAGCTACGTGTCCAACTTCAGTGTAAGAATTTGCATGAGTACTTGAGAGAGCTGAGTCCGGACATCTTGGACAGACTGTACAACCATCCAGCAACTTGTCTGGCGGTCTACAGGTATGATGGCTTTGCTTTTTCTAATGTTGCAATATTTGTCCCATGGATTATAATATATATTTTTATATTGTGGTTGATCTTCTACAGGGAACTCCCCTCTATGGCCAAGAATTATGTGATACGTATGCTGTTCCTGGATCAGCCACTTCCACAGGCAGCAGTCGCATTGTGGGTGAATAAAGACAATCAGAAGTGAGTCTCCTACCTTGTGACGTCTTCATTACCGTAACTGTGGCCCTGTGCCGCTATGTAACTTTTCATCCACTTATAGTTACTGGGGACTTATTATTTATTCACATCCACAGTGTTTAAGGAATTTGTTCCGTGTCAGCCAGGCATTCTCCTGGTTTGGGAATATTGTAGAAATATCAACCAGAGTCAAATCTCTGTAGTGTTGTGAGTTTTGTTGGTTTTTGGGAATATGTTGAGTCTGCTGCACAGAATGGATCTGAGACAGTAGAATGACCCGGATTAAAGGACAGGGGGACAGTTTAACAGTGGAAAGATGGGGGTGATTAGACTGTCTGCAAATGTGTAGAGTACAGACATTGTATTCTTTATGGGTGAAAACCATTAGTAAACATCATAATTATGAAAGGGAAACTGTTGTTTCAGCAGAGAATGAAATTACCTCAGTGTAAGCAGCTCTTTCATGTATTCAGTGTAAGAAAAATACACATTTCAGAGTGATAACCAGCTAAGTTAATTTTTTTTCTTCTACCTGCAGGGATCATGATGAATGTGTCTCAGTGTTGGTAGGACTGTGCCTTTGGCACTGTCAGCAGCTCCAGGGTGGTCTGCAGGGATACATTTTAAATCCAGTGTTCAAGGACAACCTTATGATTGCGCTGCTTGGCGGGTAGGTCTGCTTTCTGTGAACACACCAGGTATTGCCACATATTGTGCCCACAATTATAAGATTATAATACAAAATGGTAACACAAAGATGACTGAGCCTATTACTGAGTTTTATTAACATGTGTTTGTGGCAACATTTCCAGATAAAAGGTAAAATATTTTTTATCATAAAGAAGTCAGTCAAGGAATTGCAGTGTTTTTGTTAGTGTGCTTTTCTCTGACTGGTATTATTCAAGACAAGGTTAATTTTCTATATTTTCTGACAGCAGATCAATTTGAAATATGTCAGGCAGAAATGAAACCATAGGAGCAGCTGTTAGATGAGGTGCTGCAGACAACAGGCTGCAACCTGCCCATTACTCAGCCAGGTAACCAGCTCATGTTACTGCCATTCACACTCCTTGTGCACAGGATAAAATCAGATCACAGATCAAAGACTAATTATTGTGGGACTTCTTCCTAAATTAAAATGACAGGCAGAATTGTAGGACCGTTGGTATTATATTCCTTTGCTTGTCCCACCAGTAACTAAAGGTGTTACAAAATAAACCCGGAATGAAATCTTCAAGATTGCAACTTTACGCCAACTAGCCTGATTTGAGATGGAAATGCAGCACTTAAGCTGCTATTATAACCTGTTGTTTTAAGTAAAGGATTACACTGCTGTGTCAACACACAGGGGCAAAGCATGGGCGGATGAGGGCAGCACTTTGGGTCCTGACCGCCATGCACGGGACATTGAGAGTCTTGACCGTTACGCTATGGAGCGTTGGGAGGTCATTCTGCATTTCATGGTGGGCTCTCCCAGTGCTGCTGTCAGTCAGGACTTGGCACAGCTGCTAGTTCAAGCATGTCTCATGAAAAGGTACACTCACAAATTTTTACACAGTAAAATGTCATGCTCTGTAGTCTGTACATATCTTGGTCACACATGAATCATCAAAAATCGTAAACCATAAGCACAGTAAGCATGATTCATTGCTAGGCTTTATCTTCCTTGGACAGGAGAAAAATTTCAACATGGCATCATGTTATGACATTTTTGGCACTGATTTTTTTTTTGTGTGTGTTATCTTGGGCCGTCTACAAGGATATGGAGTAGCAAGCCAGCAGGCAAAAGTAGGCAGCTAGGGGGGGGGTTCCATGGGTATGTTAGATTAAGAGCAAGCTTTCCTGTGTTTTAGCTAGGATTTTATTTTTAGCAGTATTTATTGTTAACATGCTAAGTAAAGGTCAGCGGGGAGTGAGGAGGTAGGATAAGCAGCAGGGTAATACAGCACTGTACAAGGATACTGAACCAACTATGAAAATTGAATAGAGAATTAGAATTACAGGCGACAGCAAGCCTCAATAAAGCAATGGGCTGGATTTCAATGAGTAAATTAAAAAATGTATAGGTTATTTGGTTGAAAGCTAGCAACCATGGAAAGCATCATCAAAGAAGAATGACAAAGCATGATCTCGGCTTTTGAATTGTAACTCATGTTGTCCTCTCATCGTCTCTGTTTGTCAGTGAGGCAGGAGAGGCGCCCTATATTACCTCAGCTGGTTTCCAGTTCCTCCTCCTGGACACCTCCTCTCAGCTGTGGTACTTCACCCTGCAGTACCTCAAAACTGCTCAGGTACCTGAATGTCCTCTTTTAGTTTGACCTTAGGCCCATACCTGGGGCATGGGGTTTATAAATTATGTAAACATGTAGTTTGTTTCTCCATTTCAAATAATTAGCAGGATAGCCTTTATATTTCATCTATATCTCTGTTCAGTGCATGTTTCAGTCTTGCGCAGAGACCTAGAATCGCATTGCTTCCTTTCGGTAGGTGCACTACAAGAATAACAGATGGTGAGCTGTAAGTGGATTTGACCTGTTGTTGTTGAAGAAATTGGGATATTAAAAACAAAAAGCCAGGCAACAGAAAACTAAGAGGGAGAACAAGGGTCTACAGTTGTTTTTTTTTTCAAAGAAAGGTACCTGAGAAGCATCAAATACCTTTGATTCATTATGAAGCTGGAGAAGGTAAGAGGACGTCATTTGACTAGGCCTTCATATGTGGCACAGGACGCATTTGCGTTCACACAGCAAAGAGAACGTGGAACCATGCATCCCAGAACTCTCAACTGCTGACATATTGGTCAGAGATTCAGATGTGAATTCAAAAAAACAAATCAAACAAACAATTATTTTAATTTCTGGGAAGAGCATATATAGTGTCAGGAGTTTCATTGAAAGGTGACTAGGTATTAGTACAATAGCTTTGACAAAAAGAGGGTACCAAGAATGATCATGTGAAGGAATTTGTTTTGTAATTTTGTTATGTCAATCTACTATTAGTGAACAGTGCACATGTATTTCAGATTTTAAATTCCAGTGGTTTAAACGTATTCATCCCTTGCTTTCTTTGTATGCTCCTGTCAAATAAACAGAGTTTGGAGCTCAGGTGAAGGTAGCTCAAATATATTTATAAAATAATTTGGGAAAAACTATTAAATGAAGTGAATTAAAATATTATCTATGATCAGAAAGAGGTTGTTTACCAAGTGGTAAGTACAACATGACTGATCTGATGGAATTAGTGCTGTAAAGTCAATGTAGCATGTGCGCAATTAGAGAACATGTAATTCCTCTCCCTCTCAATTTTTTTAGACTGGAATTGTTGTAGACTGACATTCATTTATTCAGAGTGGCTAATTTTAATAGAGGTACTTGTCATGAATGTAGTAGCCTATATTTCATTCTTTGTCTTTTGCAGTCTAGAGGGATGGACCTGGTGGAGATCTTGTCATTCTTATTCCAGCTCAGTTTCTCTACTCTGGGCAGAGTGAGTGTACAGCATTTTACTGTTTATCTGTTTGATCCTCAGTGTGCAATATGTACATGTGTGGCGAAATACAGCATAACAATATGATAATGCAGTCTGAGATTTTTAAAGAATCCTGTTAAAATGTTTATATGTATATTAAATGTGTTGCTTTGTGGCTCAGGATTACTCAGTGGAGGGCATGAGTGAGTCGTTACTCACTTTCCTGCAGCATCTGCGGGAGTTTGGACTGGTCTTCCAGAGGAAGGTGAGTATGAGAATGAGAGGATAACTGTCTGCATTAATGAACCTTATAGAGGGCTCCAGCAGCAACATAGTTATCAATGACACAAAAGGGAGCAAATGTTTATGTAATTAAATGCAATGGACACATTACAAAAGGGATTTAAGGACTTTATCTATTAATATCCCTACCATCTTAAGTCCTTACAGTGAACTGTGTATTCGTTCACTACAAAGATTATTTTTGAGTAACAGTGTAATTCCTTGTTCTATGTGTTGTGTCATTATGTTACACGGCTAGTAAGTTTTTTAAAATCTTGTCTGTAAAAAGTCTTTCTTTATTCATCCCCAAAGGGAAATTAGGTTGTCACAGC